GTCAATGAGTATTAACCCAACTCCAACCACTGAATCTATTGAGAGCCATAGAAGTATAAAGGACATACACATATACACTTATAATAAGTGCAATTGCACCAAGCACATCACATTCTATTACTCATTCATCCAGGCTTCCTTTTGAATGAATGAATAATTCCTGCCTGCTAAACGGATATATTTGCTTTCCCCAACAGGCCTATCTATGTAAACGATTTAGAAAAATTTCCGTTGATTCACACTTTATATCATCGCCACAATATGTATTGTCATATCACCCAGCCCTAACCTGCAGTAATGCTTTAAACACATTTGACAAGCTAGTTGATAAAAAAACAACAACCGATTAACTGTTGAAACTGATTGGCTAACGCTATTTTTCCCCTTGTCAGAGCTCTTTTATTCTTTCATGTTAACTGACGGCAAATCTGAATGATGCTTAGTGTTCCACTCCGTCTTGGAGCGTGCACACAAAAAACAAATTTGAAAAAGTGTGAATTTGAATTTCCTTACGCAGCATACTGCATTTATAATAAGTGTAGTTGCACCAAGCACATCACACTCTATTACTCATTCGCCGATGCTTCTTTTTCCGCTCCAACGTTCCAATAATTCCTGCCCACTAAAAGCTGGACAGATATTTTTGCAAGTAAAATTGACCATGACATCCTCACCTTATCTTATAACAGAAAAGTCGCTCACCCAATACTGAATGGAGCTGTATAGCTGCAGCTCATGGGCAGGAATGTTGGGGTTTAGGGGAGGGGGCATATCTGAACTAGTTGATGCACTGATAAAGAGGCTGATAAAGAGGTTGACTGGCACAAAGTATTTGATGTATTTTGAAAATACAAAAATACTAATCTTAAATGTATTTAAATACAAATTACATTAGATTTTTGCCGAAGGCTTTAAAATACAAAATAGTATTTTGTGTTTCAAATACATATTTTAAATACATGTATCTGAAATACTGCCCATCCCTGATTGTAGATGATGCTTATACTTAGACAGTGATACAAAATGCAGTGTTGTCATGGTAAGAAACTTTGAGGATTAAGTCATAACTTGTTATTTGACCTCGAGCAAGACTATCTGGGCTAAATAAAGTTTTAGTAGTAGTGGGACAAGATAAGCTATAATTCCCAAAGAGCTGCATGATGGACCTTGTTTTAAGGTGCGCTAGATATTCATTTGTGTAAAACTTTTTAATTAGCAGTACACGTTTGCGAAATTTTTTTTGGGGGGTGGAATGCACACTCACTTAACATGATTGTAGAGTCATCAACCTTGCTGAAAACGCTGTTTTATTCTACGTGGAGCGGGTCGCCCCGTCATGGGCACCAATGTGTGTCACAATCGAGTTAATCGACTATTACTAGGGTGGCCATATGTTCTCTTTTTACAGTACTTGTCCAGGTTTTGTCTTTGTTTTCCAATTGATGTAGTCTTTATGGTCCTCATTAGAGGTCGACCGATGTATCGGTTTTGCCGATTAATCGGC